AAGTCTGTTAAGATTAAGTGAATACAAAGTATGTTTTTAATTTGGAAATAATAAATCAAGGATATAATTATGTAATGACTAAAACTGGTCGTCTATAAACATCTTTCATAGGACTCTGAATATCTGCCCTCAATATATTATTTTTCTGAAATAATAAAATGCCAAATCTTACTCTGAAATCCTAAATGTACAAAGAATATAGTGCTAAAATTTAACATGCTTCCTCATTCAGTGTATGATGGTTGCAGACATCTGTTTTCTGATATTACATTTAGAATTGAGTGAGAACCCAACATGATTTGGTTGTAGATGTGATTCCACTTATGTGACAAATTGGATCCTGAAGAACTATATGCAAAGAGGATTTTTCTTTGTCGTATATTCAGACATATTTTCACCACATTAAGATAGTTCCCTATTTAAAGGACAGTATTTAAGTCAGTTTGCAACATGAGTTTCTCAGAAGTAAAATTAATGTCTTCATCACACTTACTCATATACTTCCTGTTGAAATTCATTTTGCCATCCTTCCCATTTCCAATAAAATTTCCATCTACATGAATGTGCAGCCCCACCAGTTTACACCCTCTCTGAATGTACCTTAATTTTTTTCACTTACGTATCCCCTAGTGGAGTAGTTCTTTATCAGTGAAAACGTACACAGGCCAGGACCCCACACCAAACCTACTGACTTGAGAGAGGAGAAGAGAGAGTGGATTTTGCTAAGATTCTCAGGTTATCAGCTGACCTTTGGTGAGAGTGAAATCCAGAGCCCTTGTCTCTCACTGCGAAGAAGGGTGTTCGAGAAATAATTCCTGGAATGAATTCTTCCACAATGTCTTAAAATCCTCCACATTTTTGAGGCCCAATTTAAGGCCTCTGTCTGTTCACCATTCCTCATTCTCCTCGTATGTGCCTGCTCTATCCCTCACTCCTGCCCACGCCTACCTCTGCTCTTCTACACTGTTATGATTGTTCAGTGGAATAATCCTCTCCAGTTTACTCAGCCATCTGTTTCCTCTAGAGAGAAAATGTGAACTACTTAAGTCTAGGGGTATCACGTATTTCTTTTTATTACCTTCCTCCACCATCCCAAGTCCTCTCTATCACATATTTTATTTCCTGTCTATCACTCCTCCTATCTAAATTTATCTTATGTATTGTTTCCTTGGTTATGATGCATTTCTCTTTAATAGAATGTAAGGTCCTTAAAAACAAGGACACTATGACTTATTCCAAATTCTTTCCCCACTGCCTAAAACAGTGTTTAGTTCTCAAAATATATTTAATGAGTAAATGAGCTACCTAGAGGATTGATTTTTGTTTGTGTAACTGTAATCATATATTATATTTACTTACCATTGCATCAAATCATTCACTGCCTTCAGTCCCATCTGCTACTCCTCTGCAAAATCCATCCCATGATGGATATAAAGGGCAAGTAATTATATTTTATTCTGTCAAGGTGCCTGACAATCAAGCTCCTTTAAGGCCTCTTTTCTGAGGGAACTAAAAATTATATCTTCTTTAGCATGGATACATTCCAAGGAGAATATAGAAAATTACAGACATCAAACTGGAGCTAAAGCATTTGTTAATAACATCTGAAATATTACTTACACACTATTTCTTAATTTTAGTTTGGGAGTTCATGTATTGACTCATAAAAATTGACTGTGAGGTAATACTTACTCAGACCCCGGCACTTTCTGTACAAACTCAAGATCAGCTGTGAGAACAGACACATGATGAGGCTCTGGGTTCTATAGCACACCTCTGAGCAGAGTCAAAGTGAGTTTGTTTCCACTATACATAAAGTATTATCAGGGTCCAGATACCAGGTACCAACATGAGTGGTCGGCTAAGAATATTTGCCCTTCGGGCTGCCCTTGACTGCCTACTAGGTGAGAGAACCATCAATTGATGAGGATAAAGAGGAGTTGCTTCTCTACTTGAATTTCTTGAAATTGTTCCTCCTTGTCTCAGCTCAGCATGCAGAATGTAAAGCATCCCACCCCTGCATTGGGTTCATTTCTTTCTCATGCATAGATTCCAGAATGTCATGAGTCATCAAGGGGTGCCGCCATTGTGATGCAACTATGATGACGCCCCGTGATACCCTATAATGCACCATAAAATGTTCAAAATGTTCAACTTTAATGTGAAGTAGGTACAAAGTTCATGGCTTGAAAATACTGAAGATTAATTCATGTGCTCTGTGAGTAGCTACCTTTATAAGAGTTACATAGTTCTTCAATATGATTAACATAATGTAACTATCATAATGTCCAAGTTAATAATAGTTACTATGTACTGAGCACTCACCACACTCTAGGATCTGTGTTACTTGTTCATGTATCTTATCTCATTTGATCTCCTTAACAGCAAGTGGGTATCTTTATTCTTATTTTCAGATGAGGAATCCATGTCTTTTAAACATTGTGTGGTGGAATTTATATATGAAAACCCAACTGGTTTGAATCTAAAGCTCACACTAAGCACTCTGTCCCTATGATGCGATGGTATATTCCAGACCAGCATAAATTATCACCCTCTAAATTTCCAACTGGAAAAAACTAAACAATTTCCAATGTAAAGAACCCACTTTCACTTCAGACAAAGTAAAACACTTTCAGTGACAGCTATGCACAATTTGCCTTCACCTAAATAAGAAGAAAGAGTGGAGAAAGGAAAGAACAGGATTAGTACAAAATCAAAATTTAGGAGAGCAGAAAGGTTCAACAGTATAGTGACAGCCTGCACACTAAACAAAATCTCCACCATCTTTTGAAATCTGTGGGCAAGGCTCTGAATCCCTCTGAATCACAATAGCCTCATCCATCAAAAAAGATGACAATGCAGGCAGGCCCCTGCTTTACCTTGGAATGGGCTCCGCCACCTTTCTAGTCTGGTTTTCCATTCTTGTTCACACCTTGCCGTCTGGTATTCGTTCCATTTCTCACTTTCTGCTAGGAAGGGGAGCAGGTCTTCATTTAATCTACCTCTTCATTGCCCCCATGCATAAAAATAAAACAAGTAGATTGCACAAAACATGCTCTCAACACATGTCGATTAGAGAGAAGACATGATTCATGACTGCTTATTTTATCCTACTAAATGCATGGTGTTATTTAGCCTACTTTACTACAATATGCCATTAAAAAAATACGTAGCTTTTAAAAAGTTTCCAAGAATTAGGACAGATGCACTGTGACCCACATTCCTAAAAGAGTTGTTTTACTGGAACAATCACAGAAGAGATATATATATCTTCAGGACAGAAACACTAAGAGACAACAATGCTTTTTTTTTTTTTTTTCCTTTCTTCCTCAAGTCAAGAAAAAATCAGTTCTGGAGTTGTCTCTACATCAAAGTTGGTCATGTTAAGCAGTTCCTTCCCCCTCTCACGATCAAAAAGCCCTACTAGGTTCTAAATGGGCCCTAACAGCTGGCCCTTTCATCTTGGGATTCAAGAGGTACAGAGTTGGGCACCACCCTCCATCCAAATGCTAATACACTACCAGTAGAGATGATTCCTTTAGGATAAATATTATTCTCCCCAGACACTCTTTTCAAAGAGAAGTTTAGTATAAATCCCTTTCATTAGAGAGAACAGAGATTTTAGAGTCAGAAGAACTTGAAGTTAAATCCATCTGGCTTCTGCCGCGACCAGCTGTGTGAAGTTCTCCTTGCTTTGTAAAGCTGACATTGGTCCCTCTCGTAAAACAGTTTGGAAAATAGTACTTTCCTAGCAAGATTTTTGAATGAGATGGAGTAGCTAGAGTGTACAGTTTGGCAACAATGCATGCTCAATAAGTATTCGTTTTGATAAGGACTTTGGACCACGTGAAGAATGGGAAGAGAGGAGGTTGAAAATTCTAGCCACGTCACAGTAGTTGACGGGAAAGGACCCTGGGTTGAGACAGGGGCCGATGTTAAACAAAGCAGCGTCTCATTAGGAAGCGCGCGCTCCAGTCATTTAGAGACCTTCTTTATCCTTGTTAAAGACACCGAGCTATCACTGGTAAGTCACTCTTGTCTTAAAGTACTTTTACATCTCACTACGAAACTTTTCTAGTTAATCCCTGCCGTAGTATTAAGATCAGCCAAAGCCTGTTCGGAGGATTTTCGGATAGTATGGGATTTTTAATGTCAGATACTAGCTCCCAAACCCAACTCCCGCCCTCGAATGTGGAGCTGGTATTGCTTCAGCTTGCAGTGGGGGAACTTTCATTTCCTCCCAGCGGCTCCCGTGCTCGCGGGGGGTGGGGCGCCGGGCATCCGTGTGCGGTTTTGGGGTAGTAACCCCTCCCGGGGCGGCCGCCCGCCTCCACCCACCTCGCCGGCCGCCGTGACGTCACGGG